AAAATATATTTAAGTAAAGTGCAAATAAATATACTTAAAAAATAAACAGAACTTTCAATTAAAGTATATTTTTGTAAAATATATTTTTTAGAAAATATACTAAATTACAATTGTTTTAAAGTGTGTTAAAAGTTGTATTGTGAAAATAGACAAAAGCATGATGCTAATATACTTTTTATATATTTAAAGATAGTACATTTTTTGTTAGTATATTTGCAATGTACTACTAAAACAGGTAATATATTACAAATACAATAAAGTACTTTTTTTCACTAGAGTATACACACGTACACACTTTGATATCTAGAAAACTTTAATGTATTATATATTGTTGTGTACATTACAAATATTCATAACGTACACTAAAAAAGGACAGCAGCATATATACTTTGGTGAAAAACGAAACAAAACATACTATTAAATGTATTAAAAATGCACTTGAAATACAAGTATGTTGATAGTATACTTGTATTACTACAAACATACTCAAGTACATTTTAATACATTATAAAAAAAACATAAATAAAAAAAGACTGAAATGCTATGGCAGAGCTATCTTTTACATTTGCAGAACATTTCAGTTATACCGGCCTTACTAAAAAGTACAGAATTTTACATCTATTAATAATAGAAAATAAATGCGTCAAGCTTGAACAAATTTATAAACACTTAGCTTATTACAATTAATGTATCATGTAATGAACAACAGCCTAATCAACCAAAGTAGCATAACCTTTTAAGTCAAACTGAACAACATATTAAACAACATATTTTAAATATCGCAATGCTTGATAATAGTTGACAAACGTTTGTACATTGTAAATGTTAAAAATGTTTTTCAAAATATTGTACTTTTCCAAATATTAAAATTATAAATACATAAATATTTACATGTACATTTAGTCATTTAGCAGACGCTTTTATCCAAAGCGACTTACAAATGAGGACAATAAAAGCAGTCAAAACTAACAAAAGAGCAACAATATATAAGTGCAAATGACAAGTCTCGATTAGCCTAACGCAGTACACATAGCAAGGTAGGTATATATATATAACAAGTAGATAGAATAGAAAAAAATAGAAAGCTAGTTTTTTGTTGTTGTTTATAAAAAATAAATAAATAAAAAAAAAGGATAAAGTAGAATTATAATAGAATAGAAAGAGTTAGAGGGTCAAATAAAGATGTTCCAAAAGGTGTTTAGACATGTTTTTAGTCGTTTCTTGAAGATGGTTCAGGACTCAGCTGCTCGGATTGATTTGGGCAGGTCATTCCACCAG